CGCACTACGGTTCGGCTCGCAGTCTACCACGGATGCCAGTACGTTCCCTCCAGGCCCGTCACGTTCTGATTGGGTCCCTCACGTTTCTCTCGTTCTGATCAAGGTATGACACATTTTTCACCTTCTGTTAAGGCTTTCTACGGTTGAAACGTGGACGCCGGTCAGCTTTTGAGCACGTTTTTGCCCACGGTATCAAAAAGGCCTCACACGCAATAGCAATCATTGTATCCTGAGTCTTCGACGCGATAACATCGTGAATATACAAGACGAAGAAGAGTTGGTGTTTGCATGTTTGCTGGGTGCATACATCCAGTCTTTGCGTCAGTAAGAAGAAGGCCAGCAGCAGTTGCCGAGAGGGAAGGCTAGAATACAGCAGGCAGGAAGAAGGCAAAGAAAGCGGAGGAGAAGCCGGGCGCGGCTTTTATATACTGCCTCCTAGACCGTGTGCGCCGTACGCGTGATGCAGCGCGCCGTAGCACGCCGTAGCGCGACGGGCCCGTAAACCGTCACACGCCGGGACGCGCCCTGATTGAACGCGACGAAACGGCTACCATACACCCTAGCTTGCCATGAGAACCTTGACAAAACGTGGCAAAGCGGGACACAACGCGCAGCAACCGTGAAGCAACCGATAACAAAACGTGCACTGAACGCGGCAGGACGTGTCAAAACTTGAAAGGACCGTGAGATGCCGGGGATTACACATGCTTCCCGTCCCATTACGGACCGCCTCCAAGTTTTGTTATGGCCTATTACGTACTGTCACGTGTTGTTGGGTTAACCCGTTTAACTACGGCCTACCAGGTTTCTCATCCGCCCCGTGACTTCCGTGGCAACTTTTTTGACAGTTTATGCTATGTTTACATTATATTCCGGGCGGTCGCGGCAGTCACGTTTCAGGCAACCGTGGTCAAAACGGGATGGACGTGAGACAACGCGGCGGAAATGGATATAGTGCCTACAGCAGACGACAATATTGGGGTGAACAAATGATTTATAAACTTATGTTATTGTTCTCTATCTATATTTATGTGTTTTGGGGGATGGCGACCTTTTGTTAACAGTAGTAGTGTTGTGTTTCAATCAGGCAACGCCCTCTGCGAACATGGCCGGCATCGGATGAACAGCCAATGCATCCATGAGTCTTTGTTTTCTACGGGATCGCGCTAAATTTTTATTTCTTATTTTTGTTTGATCAATAAAGTGTTTAATTGACACAATTGACCTGTAATTTAAAAAAAGAAAATGTGCAACCGTCAACGTCTCCTTAGTATAGAATGCTATAATGTGTTTGTTCCTTTAGTTAAATTTAGAATAAGCTTTTCTTGTTTTTGTTGTTCAATCACTGACATAAAGAAGAATAGTCTGTGTTGTGTAATTGTCAGTTTGAAAAGAATATTGCTTTTTTTCTTTTTTTTATATGACTAAAATCATCCAATTGCTTTTAAGAAAATACAGTGTATTACTACCGCTAGTCTGTACAAATGTATGAATATTAGATCTGTTAGCTACGAGATTCATTGTCACAGGTCATACAACATAACAGTAATTGTCAGGTATATAATGTCCAAGTACAATCAACAGACTTGTGTACTCGTGGACCACGCCCGTCCATCCAGATATTGAGGAATGTGGGATTTTTTTAACTGTAAACCACGGCACGTTCACGTCAGTTATCAATAAACGTCTTTGTTGATTGTCTAAGGTCTCTAAGTCATGTTATCGGGTTTCTATTTCCGCCACACATACACGCGCGCGGGCAGTCTAAGGTTGTGTATATTCTATTATCAGTGGATGTTCCTACATTGTTCACTTTTATAGATTTTATCACCAATTATAATGTATACCGGTTTGAATTTATTAGCCTTTACGTCCTATACGTAATTACGGTTATTTAAGAACGCGTCTCCGTAAGCATCATGCAGGTATGCTGTCAGCGGTACGTTTGTGTATTTGTCTCCGTGCTATAGTGTGGGTCTGATGCTGACTTCAAAACACGTAATGTGATTAATCATTCAAGTTAATCAAATGTCTCGGAGCGTTCAAATGAATTATACTCATTAGAGATTTTTCTAAAAAAAATTATCTAATAAATTTTGCTATTGAAATACCAGGTTACCTTAGGAGTATAGATTAGGCTTCCGAATTTTGTTTCTAAATCATGTCAGTGATGATCCTGTCAGGTCATGGCATTGCCTTCAGAGTTGCAAATTTATTGGCTGGATTATGTAGTTAGAGAATCTAGACGAACTCAACATGTTTAGACAAGAAATATTGTCATTCTATACCAATTTTAACTCTCAATTATTTGTGGAAAAGAAAATTCTTAAACACTCTGTATTTTGTCGATTGTGTCATATCCTCATCACATGACATCAATTGGAATAGAGACACACAACCTCAATCAACCAATTCAATCTATCATAACCTAACGCGGATCATGGAATATGTTTGAACGGAACTAAGGAGCATACCCTCATACATGTTAAAATAATGCATTTCGAACCTTAATTAAAACCCTCTTTATAGACATGCACATATTATTTGTTTGTTTAATAGTGACATGAGACGTCATGTTTTAAAACCGGTGGAAATCGCGGAAAGAATGCCCCTACTGTATCCCACTGCATGCTCGTAGGGGCCGACTAATATTCCCTACAGAACGGGTGGTTTTCTACTGGATTTGTTTGCTTAGGAGACATTGGTGAAACCAGGAAGTGGATTGCAGCGCATGTTATCGTAAGGGACTACTCATAGGGAGTACATGTAGGATTTGGGTTTTTTCTTGTGATTGCTACTTATAAGAGATGGAAGAGACCAATATGTATCTACCTCCATGCCATCATTTTCGATTTCTACCAGCTCCTATGACTCTACCTAAATTGTACATGTACTCTTTCCATGCGGGAGTGTTGTTCCCTAAATATAACGTTGTCATCTAACTTTTTTTAGCTATATGTACGAGGGCGTTAAAACTCGATGAGAAAAATATATCCACATGCTCATTTCCCAAGCATTGTATTCACTGGGAAATTAACTCAATATGTTCACGACATATCTTGCATGTTCTGTTCGTTGACCCTGTAAATCAGGGTTTTCATCAGATTTTTATTTTTTTAAACAGCGGGCTGACTTTGATATCTAAACCTGATCTGACATTTTCCACAGTCACGCTTTTGTGTTCATAATTTTTGTTGACACGCGATTGACCGGCTTTAAAGGGTCCGATTGTCACACTTTATATCAACATTTGTCGTTTTACTAGTTTATAACATTAAAAACTTATCTACAAGGTATATTTAAAGTGTTTACGAATTGCCTGTGTATATATTTTCTTTTGTCATTCATCATCGATTCTTTGTATCTGTATATGTCTGAATATTGTTCAGTACAATTGTTAAATTTACTGAACAATGTTGATAACTATGTAGAAATTTAATTGACTTAATGGCATTGATAATGAATTTGTTATTTTAATGTAAATCATTAAATTTGTTTTCATTTGCAGAGTGCACTCGCAACCCATTGTTTTATTTTTAAATATATGAATTAAGATGTTTTATTTTTATATAAGAAAAAGTCCTATGGCGGAGGTGGTGCATTTACGCTAAGATTAGTCACATGTACATTTCTCTAACACGAACACCAAACACTTTTTTTGTCTACACCTCAGAGATGCATTCCCTTTCTCACCGGCGAAAATATAAATCTGTCTTTACCTACCAAGGAAGTGGCCGCATACAGGCTCCTTTATTCTGAAAATGTCGTCACTTTGCAATAGGATCGTGCTATGACTTTATGCAGTGATTTAACAATATAAAAAAATAATTTGGTCACACATTTGTCACCTGTCGGATGAAAAATCGACCCTTCGAATAAGATAGTTGGGGTCTTACAATCGGGTTGAGTTTACGCATTCAGTGACCTTCACAGTTATGAGGCCACAATACAAGAACGTCGTCATAATTTTGATTGAATGTGCCATTCTTCCCGTCAGCACGTGACACTATTTAAGGAACATAAGTGGTATTGTACACGCTTGTCATGGCGGTCTTGCATTGAACTTTTAATTGGAGGTATACCATCTTTGGTATACCGTATTTTTATGCTGTTTCCAAATATGGCTTCGGGTTGTTTATACATTGTATAGAAAATTTGCTATATTTGTTTTGAATTTTGCATTTGTTTATGTCGTGTTTTTTGTCAAATGTTCGTTTAGAGTCGAGGAAAAGTGTCAATAAGGATGTAGTTATGTGAAATGCATAAATAAAATGCAAAACAAATATAGCAAATTTTAATTCCTCTAATCACACATGAGTGATATATTCTATCTATCTGTCATTGTTTTTCACACATAGGCGAAGCAATACCAAAGCTTCAATACACAGGGACAACACCGGAACTCGGATTAGACATCTATAACAAAAATATAGATAGAAATAATATCACGTGGGCGACAGTATACTCCATCAGATTAGTTAAAGAAACCAAGAAAATCATCAACGTGATGTATTGGCGGATTTAATGAACAAATCATGAATATAATCTAAATCAGACACTCAGACAACAAATTGATTGTAACATGCAATCGACGCTGGGTATTGCTTTTGAGAAAGGAAGAGAGTGTTCTACGGTATGGCTGTTATCATTATATTGTAAGTTAATATTAGCTATATGAAGTTGACAAGATAATCTGCAGTTTCGCTGAATTTATCTGAAATTTTCTGAAACAAATAATGATATGAAATGAGATTTAGTATATCCTAATAAATAACATTAGTGCAATCCAATCACCATATTAACTTTATTAATTATGCCTATGTGATTGGTTCTAATATTTCAGTTTTAAATAAAATTACCTAAATAAAAAGTCATTGCAAGAGCGTGTATACTCTGCAATGTAAAGGTAGGTTTCCCACCTGGATAACCTAACAATACGACAATGTATACGACACGTTCTACCTACACACAAACAGGTCCTTTTTAACGGGGAATTAAAACCCAATCCAGTCAAACGTGTATAAATGGTCACTGCAATAGGCTAGTCAGTCTGGCTGGAATGGTCACATCTCAGTAGATAATACTGAATGCTACCCGGCTACCTCCAAACTACCTAAACAGGGACGTCATTGTGCTATAGGCGACATGAACCATAATATTTGATGATAGCAGAGGGTACATCGTGTTATTAAGTGGTGCTCAATAATACCAACAGCATGCAGAAGACAAGGTGAGTAAATATCATTTACTTGAATGTGTAGAATGCATAATATACTCTGCCTAAACACAGATAATGTGCAACTTGAAAAATAATGATTTAGTGTTGTATCTAATTTGCATTATTTGATATAATTTTCAAAATGACTGCATTGATTCTTTTTTATGAAGATATATGTCATAGATACGTGCAATGAATGTCTTAATTTTAGTGTATAGTCTTATATTTAGATCTGCAGTTAAATTATAAGATAATAGAAATACACATGTTTGAGAGATATGGAAATTGTTTAACCTTATCGTACTTAAATCCAAGTATCTAACGCATTATATACACATGCTTCTGAATAACTTTAGGTTCGTTGTTTCCTAATACCCATACAAATGACACCTGCACAGGTGGTCCACGAAGTCAAGGTGCATGCATTCATGTATATAACTGATATTTTTTATAAAATAGTTTGAAATATGATAAGATTTTTGAGATGATATGAAACATGAAATCCGAAATTGTTTGGATTGTAAAATACCTTTTTCATCTATGATGTTAATATAGTAATATTTTCAAGAATATCAATGCGCCGTATGTTTGCACGGTTTTTATTTCATGATTTAATTTGTAAATTCATTACAACATAGTGAAGAGTCTATATGAAGAAGGAATGCACGTAGATAACCATTTATGTAGTTGTAAGACTGCACAACGCATTAAAATCACTAATGTCTATGCGCATACAGTGCGTACATCGTGAGCAAATTACAACCTTGTGTATACATGCTTGTTTACACCGTTAGTTGTTTGCACGTATTCGTTCAAATGCATTGGTTATATTTGGAACGATTTGTTGATCAATATTACGGAATGAACAAAAAACGGAAAGATAGTGTACTTCATAACTAAACTAGTTGATGGTGATTCGTAAGTTATAGAAACATATCTGGGTAGTATGTTTATTGCGTTATCTTTTATACATCATTCATAACAATCATGGATTGATGGATATATTTACCATACCACCAACTTGTGAGATCAAACACATCCCTACACGAAAATAAAAATTCGCAAATATAGATGTCAAGCAAAACACGTAAGGGCACGATAATTTTAAAAGTAAAGCCTACATCTAGAATGTTCATCCATCTTCTTTAAAATAAAAGACGGCATGTTTCATGTAATTTTTATCGTCATGTCATTCTGGCATTTATTTTCATAATTAGTCTATTTTCATGACAGCATCGTTGTCATGTTAAGTATATTTCACAACATCATTATTTTCTCAATTCTTGAAATAAGGTGAATGAGAATTCAGAAGAGACATCTGGCAATTTTGAAAGTTTAAACGATACACTTGACAATTGTACACTTTATCGAAAATAACAGCACGCAATATACAGTATGTTAGAGCGATAACATGATTAAGAATACAAATATTTTGATATTCAGAATACAAATTGCCGCATTGACATGATTTCAATGCATCTTATTACATTGTATGTATTTGTGAGCATGATTTGCACTTAATTTGCTTTGCGTGTAGGAAATTTCTATCCGACACCCCATTTCAAGTGACGTGACGTCACAATGGCTCAACAATGGCTTGACGTCACGGATTTTGAACTCTCCGATGCCACAATGCGTAAAAGGCGACGTGATGAAATTAAAACCTTTTACTATATATTTACCGTACACGTTAGAAGGATGGGATCAAATTTTATGCGCAAATCACATTCTGTGTTTATCAAGCAAATCACAACAAATATTTAGGTTTCGTTTTGGATTGGCGTTAATGCTGTAAAAACCATATAGCTTACTGTAACCTTACCAATTTACTTTACAGTACTAGATTATAGTGATTTGTTTATAGCCGTCAATAACACACACTTCATTGGAAACCTTTTTGAACCAACTGTGAACCAAGCGTAATGTTGTTGAAATGTACCTCAACGTGGTTGTTCGGGAGAATATTAATGAGTTTTTGATTACACTTTTTTGTTGTTACTTACATTTTCTAAAGCATTCACTCCAGTGGATTAATAGTACACACACGTTACACCATCTACAGAACCCCGTCTCGTATTACAAATTAAAAACTTAATCGAATTACTCCTTCTGTGCAATCGATACAACAATAAAAACTTTAATCTAATTAGGTTACAGGTCATACAATAAACGTGTGATGTAAATTATCTTTTAATCGTTTGAAACGGGATACTTCTTCACTTTCAACAGTTATTTATTTACCTATTTAAATATATTCTAAAGTATAGTTATTGGCGTTGGGCTTTACACACAGTTCAGGTAATGCAGAACGGCAACCAAACCTAGCATACAATAAAATTGCATCAACATTTAGTACATAAATTTTGGAAGGCATGGACAAATGTTATTTACTTCTTTCGTTGCTATATGACAACATTTTACAGAACCATACATTTAACGAGGTTCAATTAATTTTCCTATTACACAAATGGAATTTACAATACATGAATAATTCATCATGTTTATTAACCTTTCGTTAATCCCCCTATGGTATTTAATAGAGCGCTAATTACAATTTGCTGCCCACTGGCCTATAGACTAGAAGATTGTAGGTTCGAACCCTACATACATTGTACGTTGTTATGTGGTTTTGTCCTTGAGCAAGATACTCTACCCTTCCGAACTTCTGTTTTGGTTGTTGTTGTTGTTGTTGTTTTATTATCAAGACAAGTGTTGATGCCAGAACGAATTTTACCTTCTACTGTTTATATCTTCCTATCACTTATATTATAATCAAATAACCAGTCACTGAGACATAACAGACCAATTTCTTTTCCAAACATACCCAGCTTTACGAGATTACTCGAACAATGACAATTTTAACAGCTGGTGAAAGTCCTTCATTTACATTAATAACAGTTTGCATAGTGACTGTAAGACACTGTTTCAAGTGCTCCCGCATCCTGCCCAGACTGGCGTTAAACAGATGACAACCGTCGTAGACCTCCCAGTTGTCTCTTACTGACCCTTGCATGTAGTTTTCCTTCAAGATTGGTCATTACCTTTAATACACACACTGACTATTCTACTTGTATTCACAAGAAAGTGCTCCGTTAAACATATAACTTAAGAATATGGTATTTGTTCGCTATCCATGCATGACATTCTTACATTTGCGCTATGCATTTCGTTGAAATAATATTTCATTGTATCATCATTTGGAACTTTGCATACAAATTGCATTTCCCAAATTTCCCGTGAGAACCTTAGTGTATAAAATGTGAAAAAACAATAAACGCACCATATACAGAGTGCTATTTTTTGTCATTTTTATCTTTCAAATGAATGTCCTTTTAGTCTATTTTAAGATCTCGTTGTTTTTAAATTCTGAATATACATAACACAATGAGAATTGTGTCACTAGTCGTACAATGAAACAGTTATATTACTTGAAACATAATGAGAAGGTTAAACAGTGCTGTGATAAACCTATATTTGAATCGAAACGTTATCTTGATTTTTTTCTAATAATGACCTATATTGCAATTGAACACATATTTCACTGCCTTTTTAGCTAATCTTTCCGCGTGTTGCTATACATTAACCTACCTGTAAGACTGATATTAGTCCAACACATCCACTGTAGAGTCCTGTAAACCTAGGTCCATAATTTATAACTTTGTTTGAAATACATCAAGGAGGTTTTAAAGTGTTGCGATAACTTTTAATTTAAATCGAATGTTATCTTGATTTTTCTCCATTAATGACCTATTTTGGAATAAAACATATATTTTATTGCCTTCGAATTTAACCTTTGTGCGTGCTTGTATGTATTAACCCGTACAAGTCACATAAGTCCAAAACGTGCAGATATCAAGATATGTTGTGTTAGGTTAGGGTCCATATATTAAAATTTAGATTAAACTGTAAAGCAGAACTTTTAAAAGATGAATTTTATGGTTGTTATGTGATAGATAATCAATTATCATAAACTGACCAATTGAACTAATTTGTTAATAGATATATCATGCGCATTACCGCCTAACAATCCATTCCTATATCGAACAATTTTTTTTTTTTTTTTTTTTCCAAAATGCAATTTAAAGAAATGGAAATTGTTGACAACCATTTAACATCATGCCAAATTACCCTTTAAGCATGTGCTAGAGGATAGGGTTTCAGCCCGCCCATCAACAAACACTATTAAATGAACATGATTCATATACATATGTACATATCTCGTTAAAGGAGCATTTAAATACACTGGCGTTTGCCTATTAACAATAAAATATCGTAATTTGTGGCATAAAATACAGATAACTTTATCTCCTGAATATTATTAAATGGTTGTATTCGTCAAACAAGCTGATTAATTGAACAAACAAAAGACTTAAAATCTGCAACTGATTATATTACACTGTGTACAATTTCTTGTACATAATGAACCTTACAACAAGACATTTTGTAGGGAATGAATGATTAAAAATGACACAAACATATCCCGAAGTGATTTCATTACCTTAATGGAAACTAAAACAGGATAATGAATGAAAATTATATTTTGTACGAAGGAACCGTAGAATACCTTAAGCGGTACCCTCAACCTTTGGTGTAAATTCAAAAGTTCAAAAGTCATCGGGACATTGAATGCAACGAATGCAACAAGCTTGTACATGTACAAGATAGTCTAAACATATCGAATATGAATCACTTGTATTACAACATATTTTGCTGCCGTATTTGTTCTCTTAACAAAGTTTAAGAATCAAATAAAATATAGTGGTTGCTTTAGTGGGTTTTTTTTAATGAAAACGTAGGTGTTTTATGATTATTTGTATAACTAATATCTTTATTGCAATTGTGCGGTGCCTTCGAAGTTCACCTCGGTATGCATCGTACGATTAAAAATAGTAAACAATGAATATATATTCATTCCGATAAATCAGTGGTATTATTTTACAATTTTGATCGATCGCTAAACCAAACGTTTTAAAATGTTAAATGCAAGGTAAGTAAGTGACATGTAATCAATATACAATAATACAATGTAATTTTCTATATGATACAATATGAACATTACCAAGTTTCCGATATTACAATAATTTCTTATTTCAGGTATATTTAAAAACATTTTACCAGGATAAAGTTTTAAGACTTGGGAATTGTGTTAAAACCATTAGATATCATGCCCAATTACCTGTTAATCGTGTGCCAGAGGTTAGCGTTTCAGACCTCCAAGCAACAACAATATCAAATGTACGTAAACTATGCACACATACATATATTTCGTTGAAGGAGGATTAATATCCCTCCTGTCTACAAACGTAAAGTATAAACATGTTCAGGGAATATTGGATAGGATCGAGATAAGTTTATGACTTGAGTTGTTGTGTAATGATATTTTCCAATTGATTCTATAATTAAACAATCATGATACTCAAAATTTGCACATGATTAAATGTAATAATCCTTTCTTATACTTCCTGGAAGATACACGACAGAATAATTGACAGGGGTTGATTTGTTTTAAAAATATGATTTCTTTCTTTCAACAAATATGGATCGTTAAAGTGGAATCCTGACCTATCGACCCATTTCCCGTGGGAAGTATGATTTTTTACGTATATCTGCGTCAACTTTAAGTAACTACGTTACACAATATAAATGTTCTAAAAGTAGTGGATAATAAACAAGATTAAACAATATCGGAGCTTATTGCAGGACATTTACAGTTTCTCATTTTTGCACACAAAAACAAAAAATAACATTGTTTACGATGCAAATTTACACATTTTTAATGGCAGAATATGTGTTATAATCTTGATGTTATTAAAACAGATTAACATGTTTCCAGTGTTTATCTCGTCATGGTGACTGCAGAAAGTATCTAAAATTAGTGGAACAATGAATTTGTATCATTAAGGGGAATCTGTTCAAGACAGCGACAGTTGCTATCCTCAACTCACCATGTGTTTTATCCAGCTTCGTGACATTGCTTGTAACCTTGAAATGTGTTCTACAAACTACAAACTACAAAGCATTGGTGGCCAATAACAACAATAGTTGAAAACATAATGATGGCATTTTTCATCATTTTTGCTCATGAGTAATTATCGTAAAAAACTATTGTAAACAATGATGAAATATACCTGATTTTGAAATGTTGCAAATGTTGTAAACATCTTGGCAGTGACGTTTACGTATACGAATATCTACTGCATCGCATTGACATTTGAAGACACGGGGCTTATAAAGAAAGCACTTCGTCACCGAGACCGAATTTCTAACTTTAGCCTTGAATATCTACTTCATATTCACAATGTCTTTTGTTAATGGTGAAAAACGACATTTCTCAGGTTTGATATAAGATAATCATAGCAAAGGATAAATGTAACAACAGAAATTGTTTTATTCATTAAAGAAGAAACACATGCATTGGTATAATGTTTGGCTCTTGTTCGTATTGATGACTGTTTGTTTGTTGTTTGCTTAATGCTGCCATATCCAGTTTAACATGTATGTTTTGTACCTTGGGTGTAGAGTAAACTGTTTTCATTATTTACTTGGGCAACAATGCAATGTTGAGTCAGCATAGTGTATAAAAATAGGAGTTGTATAAGGTTCTTGTAAACTGGCAAATGTTTTTGTCGTAATGTCGTTACGCAAGTCTGTCATTTCTCTCTGTACGCGCCATGCTATACTAGTCTGATATGATTAATAAACTGGAACGACTCTGCTTAACTGATTCCAGCCTCGTAAATCATTATAGAAAAAAAAGTACAATATATTCTTCCAAATAATAGGATAGAACATTACATTACTTACAAAGAAGATCTTTCTTGTTTTAATACAACATAATGCTATATTTCAGAACCACCGACCAAACAATACTGTTGACAGCTATCTTTGTGGTGAGCTGTGTTGGAGTTGGCATATGGTTCATACAGCTATTCCATCTGTCATATCACGTTCCGATTATAGGATTATCTCCTTCCATAGCGATCTCAGATAATCCGAGATTGAGGTACAGAACGCGGCCGTCATGGAAAGTTCAGTGGCGCCATCTTCTCGACAAGTTACCGGAAGTGACATCAGAAAAATCTACAATGTCAAAGGGACGAATAAATAAGCGAGATACTAATAAATTCAGGAAAAAGTTTTCAGACAGGCGAAATGATTGGATTAACTTTTCGGACATAATACTTAATGAGAATACTAATAAATCAAACACCATGCAAATAGATTGCACGCACCGAAAATTGGCAACATTTTCAGAAGATATATTATGTAAGGTAAGTAATGAAAGGCGAATGCGTATATTTTGTAGCATATGTATCTTAATGAAACAATTTAACAAAGTGGTTGATGGCAATATTTAATGTTTACAACATCTTCCAAAATTCAAATCATAAACTACCATACCACGTTCGTGTTTCCTTTCAAGGAGCAAAGCTACATGTTTATGTTCATATTTTGTTATGGAACACTGCTGAAGTTTGCAATTATAATTTCTCAACAGAAACGGAAGACGTTCTTAAAACAGTTTAAAAATCCGTGTTGGTATGAGGAATCTGAAAGAAAATTGAGTTGCCTCCCCTATTTTCATCTTTTTGGCGTCTGCAAAAGTGGAACTACAGATCTATTCCACAGAATTACGCAACATCCCCACATACTGAAAAACAAAGGCATTATGGGAAAGGAAACCTGGTTCTGGAGCTGGCGTCGCTATGGTATTGCTTAAATGTTTACATCGCACACATCATTTTAAAACCTAGAAAAATGATAAAAAATAAATATATTTGAAGGAACATTTAAGTTCAAATACTATATTTCACCTAAGTGTGTCTGGTACACTGCATTTGTTGAGAAACCTAACGAAACTGTTTAAACGACGAAGAGTTTTGACTGTATTGATCGATTCCTATACTAATAGCAACTTACTGTAGCAACACAATCAATACTTCGTAACGGTCGTTATGGAACCAATGCGATTCAGTATAATAATACATCGAAACAGTACTCTTCATCACAGATCACAGGATAGAACTGTTTCCATACATGCAAATATACTAGGATACTTTGGTCAGAATGCTGATCTGTCCATCAATCATACTGATTCCCTTCTATGACTGTAAATTGTAACAACAAGACATCAACTATATGCACAAATCAAAATACCAATATCGACGTGGATCCTGGTGTGGCATTTCCACAATGAGATAGGATCTAGTACTATTTTCCTCTATCTTACATTCATGTATGCCATTGATTTATAACCTGTCCGCTAATGTTTTTGTTATCATTTTATATCTTCCCGGTACTATCATTTCCCCTCTACCTTATCGGTATTATCATTATTCTTGTACCAATATTATCATTGTTTACTTACCTGGCTTTGCTTTCCTACCAATAGATGCATTGTTTCTCTAGGTAATGGGAACATGCCAGGAGGGACAATGTATTTGAGTCAATTCGCAAAATTGTTCGATTCCGATGCCATATCCCGGAATAAAACGACACGCCCAGATGGATCATCATATCACCACCTCATAACCGGTATGTCTAGATACTGTAAAAGCGAATATTTTCTAAATAGGGAACTACTCGTGTTTTGCACATTTTGTAAACAACAATACTAATGCGCAAACATTTATTGAAAGATTATAAATATAGATATTTGTTGTACATAAGATTTAAAACTATTTGAAACGAAACATTTCTACACTGCATTCAGTTTTAAAGTCACAAAGTGAACGTTTCCACAAGCGAAAATTTCCTCTTTTTGCAGTAATAATGAAAGGAAGCATTCAAAATCATCTATAAACGTCAGTCGTAATCATTGTCATCGTAGTTCACTTATATGATCGAATGAAAAACATTTGGTTCACTATCGATGCACTATTTACAACAAATGATCACTGTTTTAATGCTTTGAAGTCAACAATAATATATTACAAAAAATACTCATTTGATGATAGGGCTGCATCTCAATATTTTAGGTGGAATGGAGGATATTAAATGCTATTTCCTTTTTTTTCGAGAATTTCGCAATAGTTTCTCCATGTATGTTAACATCCCATCTTAACATGACAACGTTTTCACGCAGTCTTTAAATATATATATATGTTTTGATATTATTGACAGGTTGTTTGACGAGCCGTGGAACGATAATCGTGAAATAGGCATTTGTTAAAATGCCATATATTAAACCCCATAACATTTGATCACCAGCCTATTGTAGTGTTGTCAATAGGAAAGAAACACATAGTCCAAAGTTCACAATTTCAAATCAAAAACCTATTTACAATACTGTCATTGTATTACACCAATCTCATGAAATAGATGAAAGCAGCTGCTTTGACTTTATTGTTTGTAAGGCGTGATTGTTTTGTTTCGTTGTGATCTTTGTGTGTATCCTGTTGCTTATTATTATTTTATATTATTTATTGTATTACTATTTTACTGCCAGGGCATGGTGAGCCTATGGATTTGTGGGACCAATCATTCTGGAAACTTATACCTCAGAACGACCCTGAAGGGATAGAACCAAATGTAACCACGCCCTACCTCATCAAATATGTCAACCCGTCAATCAAGCTTATCCTTATTCTCAGGAATCCGGTAGAGAGGTAATTTATTTAAAACAACATCTTACTACATAAACATTTGATGGAAGAACACACACTTTCATAGAAACCTTCACGTTAATATATACATAGACGTATATTCACGTACAAACGATGATAGAGAATAATAAACAAATATCAAGCCGGTTTAAATTCTTATTGAAAACAATAATAATTATCATAATGAAATTGTTAAAATTAAATAAAATTAAGTTAATATCGCAATGCTGTTAAAACGTGACATAACTGCTAGCGTCGGTCAAAGCTATATCACTAAAATCAAAATAATTGAATTATCTCTTTTAATACAGTCCCCTGAATTGATCCCGTTTCCTCCCGCGATTAACATAAACTATTTATTGCGTGAAATTGTTTGTTTACAAAACCAACACTGATATTTACCTCGTAATGCTTGTTACTGTAAGTAGGGAAACATGCTGTCCAATCCACTTGTTTTTTAAGCAATTATATTTAATTCAAAAATAATAGAATAAAATATTCCATAAACCTTAGAACCGACAGCCTGCTATATCAAGCAAATTGATGGAATCACACAGGTGTATTTCGGAACTTGTATATCTATAGGAAATAGGATTGCATCAGTATTTCGAATATGACAGGATGTCACAATAGTCAACAGTCAGATTAGATAGGCTGTTAGAGAAAATCAGAGATCCAGTTAAACATGTTTTAATGTTGATGCTGAATCAAAATGAGTCGTTTTAAATGTCAATTTCCCCCTGATAATATGTGTTTTATAAATGCCAGAATATAGGCGTTCGGTATGGTTATGAATACACTCAAATGCATTAACATTTTCAATCTTATATTTAAAGGTTATACAGTCACTACCTTCACGGAAACTATGGCAACAGCACAGATAATTTTCATAGAGACGTTTTACAAACTATTAAAGTTCTACGGGCGTGTCAAGAGAACCGCACGCTACGATCATGTCTTTATGACAAGGACAATAAGAACGATTTCAAGGTTGGTTGTTATTTGGCACACATATAAAGGTATAAAAACCATGTTTGATAGAAACAAACTTTGCTTTTTAAGGACTTATTCATTAACATATTCATTTGTTTGTTCATAACTTTGAAGAAACGCGTTTGTGTATTGGACATGGCATTTAGCATTGCATTAAATGTATCCTTGTTCAATTAAATGCTTATTTTCCATCATGTTTTATAATGTCTTTGCTGCTGTTGATAAGATGATCTACATGTAGTGCTGTTTTTCTCATGGATATACTCTAAGAAAAAAAATGCACTCTTTAAATTAACCAGAGAAATATGGTATCTATTCTAGCGCAATTTATATCATTGAACATTCCATGTCCTTTAACATGTTTAGTTTATTAGCGTTATTAAGTGATAAATAAGCTGACTGGTATTTTTTAAAAGTTTGTATATATACTTAGTAAAGCATGGAATGTTTGAATTTTAAACGGATACATTTCTTACATTTATCAAAGCGCATATTTGGTACATACAAATAAAATGTCCCACTCAACAATGTTATCTAGTTTGATACAGTCCACGCTAAAATACATATAAAACATGTGTCAAATTTCTATTTTTCACTGATCAATTATTACAAAGGATGCAAGAGAGTTCTTTGCAACTGTCTGTAATAATGTATAGATTCAATAATTGCCTTCTTATAATGTCAACATCAGTATGTGTTTCCTGTAGTGACCGTCTGTTTCGATCTTGTTATAACAGGTGCCTATATCTGCCAGTTTATACCATGTCCATCTTCACGAGTGGCTAAAAGTTTTCCCAAGAAAACAACTTCTTATTTTCCGTACTGAAGACTACAGTGTGAACATTTCCGATACACTAAAGACAGTCTTCAGCTTCTTAAATGTTGGTAAGTATAAGAGGATTTAAAAATTTTCAATCCACCTCCTAGTAATGGACATTCATATTGTCTATTTTTTGCTCTTAGCGTCGTGTTGGCGAGTACATTGCGGTCGTGGAAACTGTGCAAACAAACTGTCGTAAATAGTCATGTTTCGTTGATGTAATTGCTGGTTGTTTTTGTCTTTTATTTTGGAATATTAAAACTACTTCAGTTTTCAATATCTAATTCATTAAATTTACGTACAATATCCCTTTGCAGACGCATACTATTTTCTCACTTCAGAAAAGGTAATTGGTATGCCAAGAATGCACTCGATATTTCTATGATTTCCTATTTGTAATAATTTATCAAGATCAAGACACAAAACATAAATACGCTTTTATTTTCGAACGTTTATTTTATCTTCTTCAACTTAATCGATGTCAGTTAAATTCTGCAAACATGGTATCACCTCAGGAGTAAATAAGCGTAAGTCATATTTCAATATAATGTTATCACTTTTTCTTAACTAAAACAAAATTAAAGCTCTCAGATACTTTCTTTAAATAAATGCTTACACAAATATACGGCTTAAGAATAGAGGGGAAGTAACTGTTACTTTTACCCACAATATTATCTCCCTTACGCTGCCTGCTTACTAGTTCACACGCTGTACAAACTACCGAATTATCCATGTCGTGAACAGTCTACATTTAGTGTCATGATTTGTTGTAGAAAGTTGTAAGTGTTGTCCAAGATCAACATATTATCGTTTACATATTTTATATTTCATAGTTTTAATAAAATCTTGATTACAGTTTTCTATTGTTCTCTATTGTTCTCTATTGTTCTCTATTGTTCTCTATTGTTCTCTATTGTTAAGATGAAAGCGACTTCCGACGAAACAATAATATAGTGATGGTTTTTTTTATAAACTCCAAACAGCTTCTGCAGGGTTTCGGATAATCATTATCATTGTCAATCACATCTGCCCCAGTTAACATGATTCACTTACCAATGTGTTCTTTGCTACTATTCCCCATGATTAACCTCAATCGTGTCTGAATGATTTATTACTTATATTTTAATACAATGTTGTTGTCTTTTTTGTTAATTTCAACGAAGTTTTCTCAATACAGTTTACTCAAACAATTGTAAATATATATATTTATCTACAGTTTCACTGACAATTAAGTTAAGCAAAGTAGCAACAAAAGGAAAAGGAATGAGAGAGAGAAAAGGGAAAGACGAAGAGGGAAAGGATTAAGCGTTTAACAGAATTAGAAAAGAAGTGTTGATTATTAATTCTGAGGTTTGAGATTCTCTACACGGAACAATGTAAAGTAAATTGTGTCTTTTCATTACTTCTATTTATACTGTCATGGAGCAAATACCGGTTAACCTAACAGAAAATTCAATTTCTTCCCTCTAAGCGTTTTTGTTATATACTTTCGTCTGTGTTTGTTTTTTCTCTGTCCCGGTAGAGTTTCTTTTTATATCAAATTTACACTTGGATTTCGTCCTTTTGTACTTTAATTGTTTTTTATGTACTATGTACCTTTTATTTGTTTACCTTTGATAATATGACAAATAGTTGTTGATTGTATATATACAGCACCACTGTCACCGTCTGAGCTGGTCCGGGTAGCGGATATTCCACAACAATACCACACAGTGATGCGAGACACCACCGGACCCATGCGATCGGACACACGGACCATACTAACGGATTTTCTCCGAGGATCTATTTATAAAGTTGCTAGTATTCTTCAGGACCGTCGGTACTTAAAATGGTTGTAACTATGTTGGAATATGCAGCAACTAATCTGTTCATGTTGCTGCAACAGATTTAAGTGTGCACTCAGGTTCCTACTCAAACGAACTATGATCATCTACGAGAATAACATGTGTATAGAGGAAACCTAAATAGAACAAATTTGCTGGATTTGTCTGGAGCATAACGAAGACCCCAATGTTTTGTCTTTAGATAAATGTTGTCACCAATATAGCGGGTTCAGTCAGTTCTCAATTCAACAAACTTCCTGCCATTTTGAGAAGTTTAGATAGTTTTAATGGAGTCTACGATTCACCTATTTTATGTTTTCGTAACACATCCTATTAATAAAAATAGAGATATATTTCACTTAGAGCTTTGAATTTTTGCATCATTAAATATCCTATATGAAACATTAACATAATAAAGGAGTGTCATGTGCAAGGTGTGTTCTATAGATATAGCCATAAGTGTTCTGTGCAAGGTTTATTCAATGTCGTTGAGGTATATTGTACATATAATCGTCTGCTAATGTGATTTAAATAGATACCGTACGTACGTGTGTGATTTCTTTCATATTGAAATTACCTATGAATTTGTACTTAAATGTAACAAGAGCTATCGTATTTCCTACATAGACTGAAACAGCTCATATTACAGCCTTGCCAGTCGACTACTACGTAACACACCTAAACTAAAATGGACCCTTTATATCCTGTGTCGTACTTCTGGACAAGGAAGTACATAGTGAATAGCTTAAGATATTTAACTTCATGTTATAAAAGATTTAGAGACGTTTTTGTAAGAAGTGGTCGGCCAAATGTAAACAAGTCTGTCTTGTTAGGCCATAGGTAAACCAAGTAAGACGCTCTAAACTGTTTTTAATTGTGAAATAACCGACATTTCTGAAAGAAATAGAAGAGCATATTTATCACAAAAACGAAAACAGGAATGTTGTATATTGATTTAAATACGTTTCCGCAGTATTCACGGAGCAAGCAAAACAATAGTCGCGATATTTTAGCCAGATATTATTGTTTAAGGACACAAGTCGTTGTTCGGTAGGAAGTATACGACATACTCATTTCATTTGTTTATGCTCAGGAATAACAAAAACATTTTTATACAGATATTTTGCATAATACTTAAATATTGTAACCTTGTTTCCCGAAAATATTACATAATGTCCGAAACCTGACAGTTTACCAGCTTATCAGCCAAAAATAACAAAAGGAGAATAATCAACTGACATTTGTTCAATCTTTTTACATGCATAAGTGTTTTAATGACAATGTGTGGTTCGACATGTTCACATTCATGTTGATATAGACGATGCACCAAGCAACTACATGCTGTTTATATCTGTTCTCTGACAGTGTACCCTTTATAAAAATACTGTAGGAATACAATTAAGCTATTTGAAAGCAAATTATTATCGACTTATCTTAAACGTTATCAAGTTGATTACAGTGACAATTGTTTAAGCCCTAACTACCACCAATAGCACATCGTCGTTCGATCCGAGTGGAGAGCTCGTTAGCACATGTTTCATATTTATGTATCTTGTACGTTGTGATTTATGTCTTTCTGCAAGTTTTCGAATGCCAAATGCGACCAATTGTATATGCTATATTGAGATGAGAACACGTTCACATCATGTCTCTGGTATCAACACCACGATATATACTGACGTCATTACTTGGAAGCCGGGCAAAGAGTTCTAGGTAAAGAGTATTACTTAATTCGTCGAAATGTATTATATAGATGTTGTGGACATTCAAAAACAGATTTATAAAAAAAGTATACACATGTTGTATATTTATCACGTAACAAGATAGTTTTAGTTGTAAATAAAATCAAAATGCACAGATATATCTACAGTAGATTTAAGGTGAGGTAAACTGCAATGATATTTAATTTTCAAACACTGTTACATAACCAAACAACAAAATTACAAGATACGCTCTTCATCAATTTTACATGATACAATACAATTGTTATTATTCATCAAGTATCTTCTTGTTAAACTTATAAGTCAAAGTAATGAAACTGCACAGGTACAATATCGAAACTCATAATCGACAGAAAACAACAAGAAAATCAGAAAAAGAAGAATAACAAAGAGAACATATCACGAAACATCATATTTACGCTGACACCAGTGTTTCAGGATTAGTAACGTTTTCTGAACAGTGCATGGATATCGTCTCGAGGGATCCTAGGATATATGGCCTAATAAAAATCTCAATTATAAATTGTATGTTGCATATCAAATAAATTTTATTTACACGGAATGATACATATATCAGAAGGTCATTAGAATGGTATTTTTTGTAAAAATAGTAAATTATTTCTAATAAATAGCACATTCTTATTTCGATGTCAAATTATTCAATGTTATACGTCTGGTTTACATTTGTTGCGATATATACTCATATATAATGACTTCTATATGTGGAAGCCAGTCACATAGGTCTATTTTAGTGAAGGTTATTTCCATAAATTTACATTTTATATAAATACATGTTACAGACGTCCTATATTTAACATTTACCAAGATTACAATGGTTAAACTCCGAGAGAGATACTGTTTCTATGTTTGGAAACCAGTCACAGAGGTCTATTTTAGTGAAGGGTTTTTCCATATAATGTACATTTTATATATTTATCATTTACCAAGATTAAAATAGTTATACTCCTAGAGATATACTGTTTCTATATTTGGAAACAAGTCACAGAGGTCTATTAATTAAGTAACTATTTAAGACTCTTTCCACATAATCGACACTTAACATTAATATATTACACAAAAGTAATATTTTTACAGCTGATCAAAATATACAGGAGACCTAATGAGAGATAAATAACATTTATAATTAGTATATTATGAAGAAACTGCATAAATAGGTCAGCTTTGACAAAACAATCAACGTTAATGCACATATGAAGAAATAACGTTTGCCTTGAATTATCAAAAAAAGAATAAAGTCATAAGACGAAAAAATCTACACTAGTTAACAGAGAAGCAGCCTCCCTCCCTTAAATAATGAAGTTGACATATGATGTTTTGGATCAATGAATGTTTCATGCGCCAAGTACGTACCTTGTTGTGGCATCTCCTGTCAAATCTAACGTTCAAAGACACAACGAACGTTAAATAACGAAGACAAATACTAATACAAATGTACATCGACTGGAGAATTTGGCCAATATATAAACTGTTCAGTTTATGATATGAAATAGATACCGAATTAACGTCGTAGGAAAAATATATAGTTCCTTAGTATTTTATGAATAGATCTAGTGCATTACAAATCATAAAACAGTGGCTGAGGCATGTCTTCAGAACGACAATTAGCGGACTTGATGTCAAGTTCAAAGGTCAAATTGACCTTATTGTAAGATGCGACTTACTGCCTTCCCATGATATACCTGTATTCAGAGTATGATGTCCATGTATTCCATAGCAGTTGAGAAATTCCCCGGAAACCATTAATTTAGTGCTTTAGGGCAAGGAAAATTGTCAAATTGAGGTCGAAGTAACTTTGTTTTGGGATCCGACACCTTCTTCCTATCATGTTCCTTTATTTAAAGTTTGAGGCCCATTCATGTAACAGCGGTTGAGGTTAAATGAATGCTCCAAAACCAGTAAATGTAAACACTTTAAGGTCAAAGGTGATATCAAGATCAAAGTGTTATATACCTATGAATTACTTTTTCCCCAATATTCTTTTAGGACTTAAGGTCAAAGTTTAATCTGTGGATACAGTGAACTCGTTTTAGTGTTCGACACACCGTCTTCCTATGATGTACTTGTATATAAAATGTCAAACTTTATATATAAGTACATCATAGGAGAACGGTGTGGCTTAAATATGCTTCGGAAACTTCAGACGATTTCGTTCAGGTAAAATGACTACGTAATTGTCACAGTTACCGGAAAAATAATATTTAAAAGAAATTGAACGTAAGACACATGCATGTACAACTTTGTTTTTATAGATTAGCATGCTAGGAAAGAATTGCACTGCCAATGCAACGTTTACGTCCCTCTACGAAAAATAGATTAGTCTTGGAACCAGAAAGATAAATATTCAAATTGGCCTGAACGACTGTTGAACACAGAATGGGACATAGAACCCGTTAGTCATACGAGTTACAGCGATAAGAGGAGCACTGGTTGATTTTAAGTAATTAATGAATGGGGTGTGTACCCTTTGGACAATGCCTTAACTAAATAAAAAAGATAAAATGTGGTCATCAAGGGTGAAAAAGCAAAATCTAGATGTTAAGATCTTTTGGAAATATCTTTAAGAAATAATTATCAAAAAGAAATCACACTTAACGTTAACCCATTTAGTTATTTTTTCTACCTAACTGCTTTGTAGCAAAGGAAAGGAATTTGAAATTCAGATTTCAATTACCGAATGGGACTGCTCGATGATTGAAAAAGAGATACTTTAAACAGCTGATAAGTATTGCAGTTCTTTTGAATTTCTCTTTCTATTTAACCCTATTAGTAGCTATATCAATAAAGTTGGATTGCATATGCAATATATTTTGCAGTCATCGCCTTCCGAGAATATCACAATATGGACTTCCGTATCTGTCGAACCTTTTCAATAGTCGATGCAGGTAATAGTTGCATAGAATACACGTCATTCGTGGATTCCTTGAACGGGTTTCCCTGTTTCGCCGGATTGTTTCTTTATTCGAGTAACCAGCATACTATAGGTATTTAACTGCGAAACACGACGCATATAAGAGCAGAACGATTGACGCTAGTCGATTGGAATGATTCCTTTCACCGTGTAAAATTGTTTCCTACAGAACACCGGCAGAAGGTATGGTATTATGTTAGCTTTAACACTTTTATCTTCCACAAACATTGCTGAATAGAATTTGTAAGACTGTTTTAATAAGGAGCTAGATTACTTACACAGACTGGCATCATCGGTACACTATACATATAATGTCAAATAATGTTTTGCTTCTATGTATAAGTTGAATTTCGAGGGTGTTATGTAAGCCTATAAGTTGTCGATTTTCGCTTTCAATACAACTACAGTGTACGCATAGAAGTAACCTAATGTGTTCCTATTGTGTACAGTTTATGTTGATGCCTATAATATGAATACAACGCAAATCAATTGTTTACGATTACACAACAGTTAATTATGTGTCGTTTACGAAAATAGAGGTTTGTTTCACTATTTTAGCAGTTTGATAGCATTTTAAGCATACTTGTAATATCCCAGTGATCATATGGCTATTTAAATCAAGAAAATCGGTTTCTTCCAGACATACATAATATCACACTTCGAAAAGTTAGAATAATTACGTATCAAGTAAACCAAAATGTTTGAACAATAAATGTACAAGCATGTACGACTTTTCGTTATGCATTAAAAATACATAATATTAATTACCGGGCAGAGTTAAAGGTTAACAGGTACTGCAAGCTAATATGTATTCACTTTGCGTATCAAGTAAACTTTAATATGTCAACCTCAAAAGTATACGTGTGTACTTCTTCTCGTTTGAACAACCGCTGGGTAGAAGTGAACGTTAACAATTACTGATATATCGTAGTTCTATGTATAAAATGTGCACTGATGTGTAGGTTATGTGGAAAGTTACTGCTGGGCTATATTTCTCCAAAGTTGGCAGTAAGTTTGTAAATGAAATGCAATCATGCATGACATACATAAATAGCAGTTAAATAGTGTACCTTTTGTAGCCCATACTTGTTAACTTGTAAATGTGATACAAAATTCACAGGCATCCTACCCTTTGCTGTTATTCAACATGATTTGGAGCACGTTCTTTCTTCATTTCTTTTTTAACTGGATGAAATGACCTCATGATATAACGAATGTTTGAGGCCGAATCATAAAACAGCGGGTGAGAGTTGCTCTAAAAATGATTACTTTTGATTTCAGGTCAGGGTTAAATTAAGCTCTCAGTAACGTTTTGTAGTATATGACACCGCCTTCCCATGATGTATCCTTATTCGAAATGTGACGCCCGTTCTGAAAACTATAATTATACGACTTGAAGTCTAGGTCAGAGGTCATACTGAAGTCACATTTGCCTGATTGTATCATGCGATTTACGGCATTCCATTGATGAATCTACATTCAAGATGTCCTTGTACACTAAAGCTGGTCACTGCAGGTGGAATAGTACAGAAGATGTGACCCGGACATTTTTTTTCAAAAGTTAAGGTCAAACGTCAAGCCATAGGTCACAGTGACCTTATTCTTGCACTCTGGACTCCGCCATCCAAGGATGTCCTTATACACCAAAGTGGCCTATATGGTCAATTTATGGATAGCTTAACATTTTGCAGGCCTCGAGAAAATCCATCTGAGACATCAGCCAATTTTACTACCCGGAATAATAAGAATTGTCACCTTTCACGAGAACTTTTCTAATGTGCGCTCGTTAACGTTATCAAAATATTAGCCACACACGTGAAGTATACTTGGTATAACTTAAGGAAACACCTGCTCTTAGTTTGTTTAATATAGAAGAATCCTTTTTGAGTTGGCGGACAAAAGGATTGGAAATAGGGCGGATCTGGTTGTATTGAATGCCGGTTCGTAAAGATTTTTATCAAAAAAATATTATTCAATTTTCCTTTTTTATAAACAACCCATTTACACACAACACAAAGCAACAAGCATACGTTACATTGATTACAATTCCCTTCACAACGGACACCTCTTTACAAGAGACCAATTACATACTGTACACACATACACATACACACACAGGGGGGGGGGGAAAGGGGGGGGGATTGCAAACATTTCTTGATAGTATAATGATAATTGTTCACGTTATTTTATAAGAGAAGCCATTTTTCCATTTTATTATGCAAGTCCATATTATTTTGAAGTGTTTATGCTTATTTATCAAGATCTTATAAGATTTAAGTTCAAAGAGTATGTGATTCTTTAAACTCGTTATATTCAGTTCCATTTCTAGACACTTCATTTTAAAAATGTATTGTTAATTCAATAAAAGGATAAGATTATCCACTATCAAATCAGCATCCTTAGAACTGAATTGTCCAAATATAAATTCCTGTTTGTCAAAATTCAAATCAATATAACTGGTTGCAAGCAATTGTTTTAGTTCTCTCAAAATTTCACATACTTTACCACATTCCCAAAATAGATGTTCAATTGTTTCTGGAAATCTTTTACAAAAAGTACAAGTTGAATTTTGTTTTATTCTCATTTTGTTTAGGAGTGCGTTTGTAGTTAAGATTCTATGGTTAATTCGGTATTGAAGCCATCTTAATTTAGTACTATCAGTAGTTATAAAAGGACATACATCTTTTTCCATAATTTGTCCTGAATGTTAAAAACCGTGGACCATTTCCTTTGTGACGTGGGTTTTGTATCATTTTTGCATAAAACAGCATAAATATCCTTGCCCCTTTATAATAATTATATACAGCATTTATATAGCGCCCTATGTAAATTGTAAAATTACTCTAAGACGCTTTACAACATATGGTAGTAATGTAATAGTAATGGTTATAACTGTGAAAACAAACAACAAAGGCCCGTAATCACCTTCATACATTCAACAAGCAATGTGCACATTATTGAACAAATAAAAGGGTGGTATTTACATGACGTCTTTGCAAAGATTCTAAAATGCAGACGTAAAGAGGTGATTTTTATGTCCCTCTTGAACTTGGCCAGGGTATTCGACTTCCTTATAGCAGATGGTAAGCTATTCCACAACGTAGCCGAAACCCACCACAAGCATCTGTTTCCGTAGGTCACAGTACGAGATTTTGGTACACACAACAAAGGTTCTGACTCCGACCGCAGTGATCTTGGCGGCTGATACTGGGTAACAAGTTCCTGTAGGTACTGATGAGCTGTTCCATTCATTGCCCTGTATATGTATACCAGAATTTTGTACTGCGACCTGTATCGTACAGGCAACCAGTGCAACGAACAAAGCGCAGGCGTGACGCGCTCTCTCCCTAGAGTACGAGTAACTAGCCGTGCTGCAGTGTTCTGAACCCTCTGAAGACGACTAGTTAGTTTGTCAGATATACCACAGAGCAGGGCGTTACCATAATCCAACCGAGAGGTAACAAGTGAATGCACCAAAATCCTGCATGCATCTGCAGTTAGAAACTGCCGAATACAGCCGATGTTCCTGATCTGGCAGTAACAGGATTTGGCAATCGTGTTCACTTGTCTCTCCATGCTCAGAGAACTGTCAAAGCATACCCTAGGTTTTTAACAGCTGGAACAGTCTCAATAGTTCTGGCACTAACCTTGAGCTGGAGAGCCATTGTTTGCTGGCACTTTTGGGAAAAGACGATTAGTTCCGTCTTTTCCTGATTAAGTTTAAGCATGTTGGTGTTCATCCAGATACTGATATCTGTCAGACAAGCTTCCAGACCTCTCGAGACTGTAGTCTTCCTTAATATAATATTAAGATTTAAAGATATATAAGGTAAACAAATACTCTTTTCTAAAGCAAAGATTTCTTGTTTACTATTTATAAACTGTTTTATAGCACTATTTATACTGTGAAAAGTTAAAAAAAAAAAATGGAGCTTATATCATTTCTACGTTGAAATTCTACAAAATTATAAAAAGAACCATCTTCTTTAATTACATCATATATAAAAAGGACTCCTTTTGTATACTACTCTTTACAGAAACAGGCTTATTGTTTATTTGGATATTGTGATTATACCACAAATGATTTTCACATTTGTTTTCATTATATATACTGGACGACACTATTGTTTGAGACCATGCTTCTAGAACGTTTTTCCAAAATTTGATTTTACATTCTTCACATATAATTTTCAATTTATGAATTCGACAATTAGCTAAAGAGAACTTTTTACCTTTTTTTATATAGAGTATATAAGAGTCATGTGGGTTTGGAGGAGCTATAAAAAGATGATTAAATTGTGGAATTAGCAATGTTTTAATAATGGTTATCTTACCTATTGGAGTGAGATTTCTTCTATTCTACGAACTTGTGAGAGATTTAAGTTTAACAAGTCTCTTATCAAAGTTTAATTTAACTACTCTATGTAAATCAACATCATATTCAATGCCTAGCAAATTAAAACGTGTACTTCCCCACAAAAGATTGTGCTGTGTTGTTTATTTATTATTACTATATTTTTCACTGCCTATCCAGATTACCTGGGTCTTAGTGAAATTCATTTTAAGGCCTGAAATTCTGGCATAATAGTTAAGTTGTTGCAGCGTTACATTTAAAGATTTTTCTGAACCGTCAAGGATAACAGACGTATCATCAGCAAAATGAGATAAAAGAATTTCTTTGTAATTTACAACAATACCGCTGATATCTGAATTATTTCTTAATAGAATCAATAAAATTTCAGCACATAAGATAAAAAATATATGAAGAAACAGGGTCCCCCTGACGGCATCCACGCTCGATAGTGAAAAAATTGGATAAGGTCCCTCCTATGTTAACTGCAGAGCGTATATTTTTTTGAAAAAGGTTGATCTAGTTAATAAGTGATGGTCCAAAATTGAAGAAATTTAAAGTTTTTGTAATAAAATTCCAAGACACAGAGTCAAAAGCCTTTCAAAATTCATTAACAATAGAAGACCAGGTATGTAATTTTCTTCAGTATAATGCATTAAATAATAAATTAAACGTGTATTTTCTCCAATAAATCTACCTGGAATAAAACCGTTTTGACTGTTGCTAATTAATTTAGTTATTACAGTTTTGAGTCTTTCTGCTATCGTGCCGGATACCATCTTATAAATAGTATTGAGAAGTGTGATGGGACGCCAACTATTTAGTTTATTAC